ACTGCTGGTCCCAAGGTTTTCTTTTTTTTCTTTTTTTTTGGAGAGGTTTTTTTGGCTATAGGGCATGTGCCCTTGCCAGAAAGACAGAGAGTGACAGAGAGAAGAAAGTGAGAAATCACCTCCCAGGGGGGATGGCCACACTGCAATCTCTTCTCCTCCTTTCTCCTCTCGGGATCTTGGGCATGCACGCACATGCGCCCGGCGTGAGTTTAAGTCACCAGGTTCGGGACTCAAACTGTGGTCGACTATGTGGGAGTCCAGCGAAATAGCCATTACGCCAACTGCTGGTCCCAAGGTTTTCTAAGAAGAGAAATTTGCTCAGGAGTGTAGGTCTTTCCTGGCTGGCTCTCCTGTTATCTGCCACTTTAGTGTGAGTTGATGTGAGGAAATCAAAGGTCAGGCAGTGAAGCTGTGACCCTTTCCTGTCTCTGTTGCTGTTCTTTTTTTGTTCTTTTTAAAATGGACCAGAGGATGTGTGTGTTTGCCAGAGAGAGACGGAGAAACAGAGAGTGGGAGAAAGCACCCCCCAATGGGGTGTGATCACACCACAGTCCCTTCTCCTCCATTCCTCTGCCCTGTCGGGATTTGCAGCACAGACACACATGGGCCCAGTGTATTTTTTTTTATTTTTTGGAGAGGTTTTCGCTATAGGGCGCGTGCGCTCGCCAGACAGACAGAGAGAGACATAGAGACAGAAAGCGAGAAATCACCCCCCAGGGGGGATGGTCATGCCGCAATCCCTTCTCCTCCATTCTCCTCTTGGGATCTTGGGCATGCACGCACACGCGCTCGGCATGAGTTTTAAGCCACCGGGTCTGGGACGCAAACCGTGGTCGACTATGTGGGAGTCCAGTGACATAGCCATTACGCTAACTGCTGGTTCCCATGGGCCCAGTGTATTTTTGAAGCCATCATGGCCAGGATTTGAACTGCACAGTTGGCCATGTGAGATCCAGTTCCCATATCCACCAGGCCATGGGGCAGGCCCACTGCTCAGTTTACTTCTGGCCCTGCTCTCAGTTCCTGGAGGCGGTGATGGCCTTAACAAGGTTAGTTACAAGCTTCAGGCTTCGTGACTGGGCTCGGTAGCGCTGCCAGAGTCGTGCCTCTTAGCTCCTTGGTGTCGGAGCAACAGACGGGATTGCCTTGGTACCTACTTCTAGCACACCCACCCAGGACAGTACCAGTGTGTCACCTCATCTGACCCTTACACAAGCTCTGTGAGGGAGATACATAAGGAGTGGGCCCAGCTGGTGCCCGAGCGCAGGCCTCGTGTATCCCTGGGCTGACCCCATCTGGCCTGTCCTGAGCCTCCTACTAAGGGCTTGCTGGGGAGTCACAGAGTGATCCCCGGAGACTGACTTCCTTGCCCTGGCTTCAGTCAGCCTGGTGCCCTATGGTATCGTCTTTGCTGGCTCTTCCTTCCATGTGGCTATCCCTTCCAACACCCAAGGTTGAAGGTATTTTCAGGGTCTCTCGATGTCTTCCACCCAGGGAGCCTTCTCCAGCCCACCCAGCCACACACGCTGTTAGCCACGTTCTGGAGCCCAGGGCCTTAGGCATAGTTACTGAGAGTTGTTCCCTGCAAGCTGAGAGACGCCTTGGCCTCACTGTTCTCTGACTTCCCTACTAACCGGCAGCCTCCGGTCGCCCTGCGCTCCCTGCTCCCCACTCCCGGAGCTCCTGGCAGCCTCCTTGTCGCGCTCACTGCTTCCTGCTCAGCTGGTCTCTCCAGGCCGGACTGCTCTCCCGGAACGGGTGTGGGTGATCGTCTCCTACCCACACGCCGACCCCGTCTCACTGTCCTGGGTGTGACTCCCTGTGTCCTGCACCGCTCCTTCATGTCTGTGCCCGGCCGTTTGGGAGATGGGGAAGACAAGGAAACTGCACGTTGGTACCACCTCACTTTCCTGTTTCTTGGTGCCAAGTTGGAATTGAAGGAAAGTTGAAATAGACATTGTGCGGTTTTTAAGAAAAACACCGGAAGAATATAGCCTTCGACTGTAGATGTGCTTTCAAGAGCACCCAAGACGTCTTTTAAATCTCCTTCCCTTAAGCTCTAAGACTTCACTATTCTCTTCATGTGGACGATCCAATCCAAGCAGATGCTCTTGTCTCCTACGTTACTGAGTATTTTTTTACTTTTATGTGTGTATGTATGTATTTATATAGAGGGCGATGCACTTGCCAGAGAGAGAGAGACAGGGAGAGTGAGACGTCACCTCCTGGGGGACGGCCATGCCGCAACCCCTTCCCTCCATTTCTCCCCTTTTGGGAGTCTGGGCACGCACTCACATGTGCCTGGCATGTTTCTCAAGTCACTGGAAGCAGAATTCAAACCACGCAGCTGTGTGGGATCCAGCGTCTTAGCCACGGACGGGCCCCACATGTGCACTCCCCCACCGCCTCCGCTTGTACCTGGGCAGCACCTGCTGCTGGTTCCCCTCCCCTTGTCCTCCTGTAGAATGGCTCCTGGGCTTCTGCAGAGGCAGAGAGGAAGCCTCCCCTGGTCCAGTCTTGAGCCCACCTGCCTCATCAGCATGTCCGTGGGGGAGAGCAGCAACACGTACCACCTGGGGGCTTTGGTCAGGGCACAGTTTGAGCTGCAGGGCCCTGAATTCTGGGACCAGCTCACCCTTGAATTTGGGAAATGGTCTTGGGCTAGTCACCTCCCCTCTCGGCCTTGGCTTTGTATAGGACTGGATCTCCCTCATCCTTTTTCTTTCTCTCTCTCTCTTTTTATTTTTATTTTTTCAGTTTTGCTATTGGGCGTATGCACTCAGCAGAGAGAGAGAGAGAGAGAAAGTAAGAAATCACTCCTGGGGCGGAGGTGGCCATACCACAATCCCTTCTCCATTTTCTTTTTGGGATTTTGGACACACATGGACATATGCCTGGCATGTTTTTCAAACTGCTGGGTCTGGGACTCGAACCACAGTCAGCTGTGTGGTATCCAGCTGCCTTTGGGCCAGCAGGTGATGATTAAGGTACTGGATTCCCACGTGGCTGACCTTGGTTCAAGTCCTGGACCTGGTGGCTTTAAAATCACAATAAATAAATAATTTTTTTAAAAAGGATCCAGGGTACCAGCAGGTGGCGTTGTGGTTAAAGTGCTGGACACTCTCACATGGCTGACCATAGTTCGAGTCCCAGACCTGTTGGCTTGCTTTCTCACTTTCTCTCTCTCTCTCTCTCTCTCTCTGTCTTACTGTATGTATGTCTATCTCTGGTCAAATTAAAATGAATGAATAAAAATAAATAAATAAATAAAATAAGGATCCAGCTGCCTTAACCATTGTACCAACTGGCTGGCTCTTCCCCATCTTTTTATTAAAAAGATGTAGAAAACTGAAGGGGTGAGGCATTGAACACTTGTCTAACCATCCAGTTTCCCCCCTTTACTCATGAGAGACCATGTGCATGTACACATGAGAGAGAGAAGAGAAACAGACAGAAAGAGAGGAGCACCCTCCAAAGGGTCTGGTCCCTCTGTGACCCTCTTCCTCTGTTCCTCCAGCCCATTGGTCCTGGGCATGCCTGGTGTCTTTCAGGCAAACCCTGCTGGGGTGTGAACTGTGGTCACCGTGTGGGACCTGGCTTCCCTCGAGCAGCACATCGGCACCGCTCATGGTCAGCCCCAGCCATGCTCTTACTCATATTAATTTTATTTCTGTGCGAATTTGTTTTTGTCTTTGCTAAACATTTAACAGCAAGTAAGGCAGTGTGCTTCTCTGAGGAATTAAGGCATTCACCCGTAGCCCCTAATACCGTACTGCACCTAAGGTAGTGGACGATTTCTGTTAACCTGAGTGGGTTAGGATTCCTTTCAGGTCCAGAGCTTCTATTAGAATCATTCATCTCTCGGGCAAGTAGGGAGAGGAAGCTAGTGTCACCGTGTGAGTCACCCCGAGGAGATGTTGGTGTGCTCTTACTGCTCTTCACCTCGTGTCTTACGGATGAGGAAACCGAGGCTCAGAGAGGGCAGATGAGTCCCACACAAACACAGCAGCGTCGCAGCCGTCAACTTCCAGTGCTGTGGGTCTGGATCCTGCTGGCGAGAGGGAGCAGCTGCCCCGTCATGGTTCTCGTTTCTCTGCGTGGGGAGCAGTCTCTTGGATCTGGCCAAGTGACCCGATTTTGCATCTCCTAGCCACACTCACATTCATTTGGCTCAAATACGGGCCCGAGGCCAGCTTTCTAAGCGCTTCCAGGAGCGGGTCACCGTGATGGTCTCAACACCGCTCTGCTTTCTCCGCTCTCTCGTCCAGGAGCCGCGTGTGGGCTGAGCCCTGCCTGATTGAGGCTGCCAGGAAGGAGTACGACGGGGTGATTGAAGAGTTTTTGACCACAGGAGAGAAACTCTTCGGACCCTATGTCTGGGGAAGGTGTGGTATCGGGTTGGCTCCAGCATCTTGTTAAACTGAGGCCCTGGTTCTCACTCTCCTTCCTGGGGTGGCTCTTCTTCCTCCATCTCTTAGAACAAAGGTTCTCTGAGCCCAGAGGGAAGGGAGGAGTTAGAGGAGAGCAAGGGATGAGCGGGGGGTCCTCCCTGTTGCTGAGGAGGGGCCTCTGGGAGCGGGGGCTCTTGAGGTGCTGTGTCCGACATGAGGATGCTCTCAGGGGCCTTGCCGTCTGCCCTCCTCCTTGCTGGAGGTCACCTGGGATCCATTCTCCCCTTTGCCATCTTCAGTTTTAGCTCCTTAGATAGAAGGCTCCACTTTGGCCTTTGTGACCCCAAGCCAGCTCCCAGTGAGCCCCGTGGTAGCGCTGACCATGTAGGATGCTCACATGGACTTGGACGGAGTGGGGGCAGCAGAGGACCTGGACAGCTGCCCCCGAGAGCAAGCACCACCTGGAAAAGGGGAGTCCCCGCAGGCAGGGACAGCTGGGAGAAGGCCTTGGGCCCGAGCTTCACTCACACGCGTGGATGCTGGGCCTGTCTGACGCGGTGTGGAGGCAGGCCGAGCTTGCACGGGAAGTGAGGCGGGGTTGGCCCCCGGGATCAAGGTCTTCCCGTGACCTCCCGATTTCTCTGCAGGTATGACTTGCTCTTCATGCCCCCGTCCTTCCCTTTTGGAGGAATGGAGAACCCCTGTCTGACCTTTGTCACTCCTTGCCTGCTGGCCGGGGACCGCTCCTTGGCTGACGTCATCATCCACGAGATCTCGCACAGTTGGTTTGGGAACCTGGTCACTAATGCCAACTGGGGCGAGTTCTGGCTCAATGAGGGCTTCACCATGTACGCCCAGCGGAGGATCTCCACCATCCTCTTCGGTAAGAGGCCCACCTCCTCCTGGGGCCTGCCTCCGCTGCGCGGCCCAGGAGGCCAGAGCCTGGGGGGTTTTAAGATGTAGATGGGAATGAAGGAACAGAGAGCTCAGGTGGAAGGCCTTGGAGGGCTGAATCGAGACCAAAGCCATTTGTTTTAGTTTTGCTTTCTTTTATGAGAGACAGAGAAAGGGACCCCGGTAGGATTTCACTGCGGCTCAACTGCTCCCCTCACCTACAAGCCAGAATCACGGGCCCTCTGGCGGGTTCAGACCCACACAGGCCTTCCCAGAGGGCTCCAGCATTGTACAGCTGCACCCTCTCACCTGCCACCGTGGCTGGTCCCAGAAGTTTTGTTTTTGTTTTTAACTAGCTGCAGGGCTTGTGTGCTCACCAGAGAGAGAGAGAGAGAGGAAGAATATGTAAGAGCATCCCCAGGGTACCAGCAGTTAGCATAATGGCTGTGTCACTGAACTCCCATGTAGTTGATGCAGTTCAAGTCCTGGACCCAGTGGCTTAAACTCACGCTGGGCGCGTGTGCGTGCGTGCCCAAGATCCCGAGAGGAGAATGGAGAAGGGGTTCTGGCGTGGCCATCCCCCTGGGGAGTGATTTCTCGCTTTTTGTCTATCTCTCTCTGTCTTTCTGGCGAGTGCACAAGCCCTACACCAAAAACCTCTCTCAAAAAACAAACAACAATGGGACCAGCAGTTAGGTAATGGCTATGTCGCTGGACTCCCACGTAGTCGACCGCGGTTCGAGTCCCGGACCCGGTGGCTTAAACTCACGCTGGGCGCGTGTGCGTGCGTGCCCAAGATCCCGAGAGGAGAATGGAGGAGAAGGGATTGCGGCGTGGCCATCCCCCCTGGGGGGTGATTTCCTGCTTTCTATCTCTCTGTCTGTCTCTGTCTGTCTGGCGAGCGCACGCGCCCTATAGCAAAAACCTCTCCAAAAAAAAAAAAAAAAAACAAACAACAAAAAATAAACCAGCAAAAAGCATTCCCCGAAGGGGATGGCCACGCTGCAGTCATTTCTCTTCCATTCTCTTGTGATTTTGGGTCACGCACACACACATGCCCTATGTGCTTTTCAAGCCGCCAGGTCCAGGACTCAAACTGCATAGTCGGCCATGTAGGACTCAGCTGCCTTAACCACCATGCCACCTGACTGGCCCCAAAAGTTGTTTTTAAGTAAATGATTTCCATTTTTTAAAAAAATTTCCTATAGGGCATGTGTGCCCACCATAAAGAGAGAAAGTGATAACTCACCCCCAGGTCAGATGACCACACGGGGTAGTCCCTTCTCCACACTCCTCTCGGATTTGGGGCTCATATGCACATGTGCCTGGAGAATTGTTTTCAAGCTATTGGGTCTGGGATTCAAACCACACGGTTGGCCACGTGGGAATCAGCTGCCTTCACCATCAACACCACTGGTTGGCCCAGTAATTCCCACTTAATCCATGCCACTAACCTCAGGAGGGACTGGTTTCTGCTGAGTGAACTATTAGTGAGCTAGTGTGAAAGGACCCCCTTGTTCACCTGGGGCCACTCAATGCATGTTGTCCCAGAGCCAGACAGAAGCCTTGGGGAGAGATGCCCAGGATCATTCACCCAAGTGGTGGATTAATTCATGCCTGAGTCATCAAATCATGTTACCTCCCATGGAACACTTCCATGCCAGCTTTGTGGTAAACAATGTATTGCTTAACAATTTGACAGTATCCGTGTGAAACAGATTTTATTTTGATTTTATATGTGAGTTCATAACAGGTCAGAGAGTGTAAGGAAATTCTTTATGTGCCCAAGCCACTGAGCAGGTAAGGGTAGGCCTCGAGTTGAGTTGTGCTTTTTTTGTTTTTTAAAAATTATTTATATTTCATTTTAAAAATTTATTCATTGTTTTATTTTAATTCGACCAGAAAGAGAGAGGGGGACAGTGAAAAAACAAGTTACCAGGTCCAGGACTCGACTGTGGTCAGCCATGTGGGAGTGTCCAGCACCGTAACCACCATGTCACCTGCTGACTCCACAGCCAAGATGTGCTTTTAAAAAACTTTATTGGGACCAGCATGTGGTGTGTGGTTAAGGTGTTGGACTCCCACGTGGTCTACTGTAGTTCAAGTCCCAGACCAGTGGCTTGAAACTCACGGCAGACATGTGTGCATGTGTACCCAAAATCCCTAGAGAAGAACGGAGGAGAAGGGATTGTGGCATGGCTATGCCCCCTGCGGGGTGATTTCTTGCTTTTTGTCTTTCTATCTCCTCAACAGGTTTTTGCCCTATGGCAAAAATCTCTTTAAAAAAAAATCAACTTTGTCTATGCTGTCTCATTAATGAGAACCCACTGTGCCTAAGACACTTTACAAAATATTATGTTTATTTTTTTATTATAGTCCTCAGTCCAGATCTACTTGGCATATATGGGAAAGCACAAAAAGGAAGAGACAATTTATCCGTAATCTCACTGTTTAGAGATAATCGATGTCTCTCCTGTTAAACGTTTCTCTGTGTGTGAAGCGTCGAACCGCATGTGGCTTCACAACTGGCACTTTTTCTTAAACTTAGTAAAGTTAAACATTTCTTCAAGTCATTGAATTTCCTGCGTAGCCATGTAGTATGGGTTTTTCATAGTTTATCTACTTGAGCTCCAACTCTTAGATCATTTCCAATTTTCTATTGAAATATTTTGACAAGCATCTTTACATCTAAACATGATGTATGTCTTAGATGGTTTCAGTAATTCTTTTATTTTTATTTTTATTTTTTTTTTTAGTTTTTGCTCTAGGGTGCATGAGCTCACCAGAAAGAGACAGAGAGAGGGGCTGGCAGGTGGTGTGGTGGTTGGGGTGCTGGACTCCCAGATTCCCACAGGCCAACTGCAGTTTAAGTCATGGATCTAGTGGCCTGCCTTCTCACTTTACCTTTCTCTCTTTTTCTGGTCAAATTAAAAAGTAATAATAATAAATTAAATAATTCTTTAAAAAGAAAAGAGACAGAGAAAGTAAGAAGTCACCCCGGGGGGGTGGGGAGGGGTTGGCCATCTCACAATCCCTTTTCTTCCATTTTCCTCTTGGGCTTTGGGGCACGCATACACACTCGCCCATACCATCTGCTGGCCCAAGATAAATTCTAAGAAACGTAATTTCTGAGTCTGAACATTTCAAAGACTGTTTGGTACAGATTCCCCATTGCCTCCTAGAAGGACTGTGCACATTTATACGTTTTTTAAAGAATTATTTTATTTAACTTTACTTATTTATTTTAATGTGACCAGAGAGAGAGAGAGAGCCAGAGAGAAAGCAAGAAAAAAAGCCTCCAGGTCCAGGACTCGAACTGTGGTCAGTCACGTGGGAGTCCAGTGCCTCTAACCACCATGCCACCTGCCAGCCCCATATTTATACTTTGATTCAGAGTCTGTAGAGTAGGAGCCCATTTGTGAGTGTCTTAGCCGCCCCGAATCCTGCAGGGAAAGAAATCCCGTGGTGCAGAGGCAGAAACCCAGGCTGAGGGGGGCCGAGTATCCCTCTCAGGGTCGGAGCATCTGGTGAGCAGCAGAGCCAGCTGCTTCAAAAGCCGTCCCCGCCCCCGCCTCTGTTCTCTCCGTCATTGTTTTTAAAGCCTGAAGGAGACTTAGACCCTTAACCCTTTTTTTGAGTGAGTTTCTTTTGTCTGAGAGAAACAGTCTGATGAAAATATTGTTTTCACAGGAGATAAAATTATCTAAAAATAAAAACACATCGGTGAGAAGAAGTAACTGTCAGAGAAAAGATGTGATGCCATCAGTCTTCACTTGTGGGAGGGACCAGTGGCGAAAGCTCACCAAGTCTGTTGTAACCCAGAGCAACTGGGGCTGGCTAGGAGCTGAGTGGGTTCCAGCCGGGACTCTTTTGCCCCCAGGTTCCCAAGAGTGAAGATATCCAGCTTCAGGTGTCTGCCATTGTTCTTCCAGCCACCAGGGGGCAGCACAGCGTCTTCTGTTAAGAGACTGTACTTGGAGGGGTGACAGACTCTTCCTAAGCTTTACCCTTTGCTTTTGCCCCAGGGGCTGCTTACACCTGCTTGGAGGCTGCCACCGGTCGGGCCCTGCTGCGGCAGCACATGGACATCACCGGGGAGGAGCACCCACTCAACAAGCTCCGTGTGAAGATCGAGCCAGGTCCAGGAGGCTCCCTTGGCTGACAGCCCTTGCTAAGGAGCTCTTTCTCTGGGTGGTGAGAGGGAGGGGTCCTCCAGAGCTCCTCCAGCCCTTCCCTGTCCTCCAGGCGGGACAAACCCAAGCCACTTCAGCCAGGTGGGAGTTCTGTCCAACTCCGTGGCGTTCTCGGGGACTTCGCTGCTGTTCTACCTAGGCATAGGCCATGCCATGCTGTGAGGCCCTTTAAGTGCCTGCGGGTACTCACCAGAGAGGGACCGAGAGGGAGAGCGGGACAAACCCGCCGTGAGGCATGGTCATGCCACAAGCCCTTCTCCGTGTCTCCATCTCGTTGGGATTTGGGGCATGCACATACATGCGCCTAGCACGTCTTTCAGCCTGCCAGGGTCAGGACTCAAACCACACGGGCTGTGAGCATTCTGGCTTCCCTTAACCACCATGCTCTGGGGCCAGCCCACCCATTTTGTTTTTATCACTGGCTCAGACCTGCGAGTTCTGTAGAGTGAACGTTAGCCTTTACAGGCAAAGGGCCTGAGCGCCACACACAGTAAACAGCTTGTCCACAGCCGTCAGGGCGTGATTGGAGCTCAGACCCAGTCCTCTCGCCTAGTCCCAGGCTTTCAACTGCGTCACGTTTTCTTTAGCTCCATGATGGTTCATCGAAAACCCTTCTGTGGGATCAAAGCTCATGTTCCTTGGTGCATTGACTGTGAAAATGGGCTTCCTGTAGACCGGTCGTCCACTTTGGTCTAGAATAGCTGTAGAAACAACATGCTATTCTGGGAGGAAAGGTTAATATTTAGGTGGTGACTAAAGGGGCTGGAAAAGATACTGAGCCAGGTACTGAGTCCCAACAGTCGATGGAATGTACCTGAACAAAGCCTGTCCCAGGAATAAGGAAGCAGTTCATTCCTCAGGGGGGCTGACTTCTTTTCCTCTTACGAGGTCCATGATTCATGGCCGATCAACACCTTTGAAGGGCTAAGGTGGGAGGGGCTGAGGTGCGTCTGGAAACCTTGGCTTTGCGGTCCCTGGGGAAGCGAGTTCAGGTCTCTCTCATGGTTAGTCTTTGACTCTGGAGCTGCAGAAGAACGATGGGGGTGGCTGAGGACAAACGCAAAACTCGTCTGCTTTCTCCTCTGCCAGGTGTGGACCCAGACGATACCTACAATGAGACCCCCTATGAGAAAGGGTTCTGCTTTGTCTCATACCTGGCCCATTTGGTGGGTGATCAGGATCAGTTTGACCATTTTCTCAAGGTACAGTCCACTCTCGAGTGAGGGAGAAGGAAGAGGAGCAGATAAAGCGGCTGGGCCAGAGTGCCAGGGTAGAGGCAGGGGGCAACGAGGTAAGGGGGTGGGGAGGGCCCAGGACGAGAGGGTCCCGTCCCCAGGCTCTGGAGAGTGACTGGCAGGCACCTTCCTTCTCACAGGCCTACGTGGACGAATTTAAATTCCAAAGTATCTTGGCCGATGACTTTCTCGAATTCTACCTGGACTATTTCCCTGAGCTGAAGAAGAGGAGAGTAGACTCCATTCCAGGTAAGCAGAGGGACCAGCCCCCACGGGCTTCGGGAGACGGTGTCTGTCCATTCTTCTGTTGCTGCAACGGATACCACAGATTGGGGAATTGATAAAGAATAAAGGGTCAGCAGATGGCATAGTGATTAAGGCCCTGCCTGGGCTCCCACACGAAGGACCACTGATCATTCAAGTCCTGTTTCAGACACTTGAGACACTCTGGGCATGTGCGCATGCGTGCCCAAAATCTCAGAAGACGGGGACGATGGGGTTGCTGCATGGCCGCCTCCCCAGGGAGTGATTTCTCACTTTCCCTCTCACCGTCTCTGTCTCTCTGGTGAGCACACTTGCCTTTATGGCAAAAACCTTTAAAAATAATAATAAAGGTTTATTCAGCTCGTGATCCTGGAGGGCCAAGGTTGAGGTTGTACCTGGTAAAGACCTCCTTGCTGGGGGGCCTCTACGGAGTCCTGGTGGGACTCAGCCTCACGCGGCCAGTGAGTGAGAGTGTGGTGTCGGCTCTGGTCTCTCTTCTCTTTTTTTGGAGAGGTTTTTGCTACAAGACGCATGTGCTCACCAGAAAGAGAGAAACAGACAAAAAGCGAGAAATCACCCTCCAGTGGGATGGCCACACCACAATCCCTTCTCCTCCATTCTCCTCTCGGGATCTTGGGCACGTACGCACATGCGCCCAGCGTGAGTTTAAGCCACTGGGTTTGGGACTCGAACTGCAGTCACCTACATGGGAGTCTAGTGGCATAGCCATTACGCCAACTGCTGGTCCCTCTCTTTTTTTTTAAAGTATACTTTTTGGCAATGAAGTTCAAAGATTTTAAAGCATTAACTTGTTTGTTTGCTACAAGGCATTTGTGCTCACCAGAGAGAGAGAGGGAGAGAGAGAGAGAGAGAATGAATGTGAGAAATCACCCCCTGGGGGGAATGGCCACACAACAATCTCTTCTCCATTCTCCTCTTAGGATTTTGGGTACACACGCACATGGGTTCGTTGTGGTTTTCAAGCTACTGGGCCCAGGACTTGAACCACACAGTTGCCCATGTGTGATCCAGCACCTTAACCACCATACCACCAGCTGGCTTAGCAATCAATTTTTTTAATCTTTTTTTTTTTTTTTTAAGAATTATTTAACTTTATTTATTTATTTATTCACTTAGATTTGACCAGAGAGAGACAGAGTGAGAGAGAGGGAAAGTGAGAAAGCAAGCTGCCAGGTCCAGGACTTGAACCGTGGTTGAGCATGTGGAAGTCCAGTACACTTAACCACCATGCCACCTGCCAGCCCCCCAGTTTTTTTTTTTTTAGAATTATTTTATTTAACTTTATTTATTTATTTATTCACTTAGATTTGACCAGAGAGAGACAGAGTGAGAGAGAGGGAAAGTGAGAAAGCAAGCTGCCAGGTCCAGGACTTGAACCGTGGTTGAGCATGTGGAAGTCCAGTACACTTAACCACCATGCCACTTGCCAGCCCCGCCCCCCAAGTATTTTTAAGAATTATTTTATTCAAGAATTATTTAAGAATTATGGCAGGTGACATGGTGATTGAGGGCACTGGACTCCCACATGCCCAACCACAATTCGAGTCCTGGACCTGGCAGCTTGCTTTCTCACTTTCCCTCTTTCTCTCTCTCACTCTGTCTCTCTCTGGTCAAATAAAATATATAAATGAATAAAGTTAAATAATATAACTCTTTAAAAAAAAGAATTATTTTATTCAATGTTATTCATCATCATCATTATTTTTCTTTAATTTGACCAGAGAGATGGAGACACAGAGAAAGAGGGAAAGCGAGAAAGCAAGCCACCAGGCCTGGGACTCAAACCGTGGCCAGCCATGTGGAATCCAGCACCTTAACCACTACACCACCTGCCAGGACCATGCGACCAGTTTTTAGTGGATGAATTTTGGGGGAGCACACTTGACCCACAGCATATACAGAAAAGAATTCAATCTGATCTGCATTTGGAAAGACTAAGCAGAGTGGGAAAACATTGAATCAGTCGTCTCATGAGTGGCATTTTGGGGAACAAACGCAGGACCCCACACTTTGTTCCACAAGAATGACTTCTCTTGATTCCTTTCTACCTCATTTTCTCCCATGTGTCCTTACTCTGTCCCCTGTCCCTCTGCTTGTTTCCCTCGCTCCTGGACACGTAACCATGTATCAGACCCCTAGCTCTGCCCTGAGTACTGTCCCTGCTGCCGTCACCCACACAAACTCCTGGGAGCTGGAGTGCAAACAGCCCTGGCCTTCAGATCACGGATTGCCTCGTATGGCCTTCTGAGCAGAGGGAGAGCCCAACTGGTGCCGAGTGCAGCTTGAGGTTCAGCCTCCTGAGAGAGTGGGAGTGTCCTGGCATGGGCGACAAGCCGTGTGAGCCGTGCTCCACTTCACGAAGTGAGCTCTGAGCACCCTGTTGCAGGTTGGAGAACGGGCTTCCTCTGACCGCAGGAGTGGGGCAAGCCTGACTAGCACCTACTCTCTGGTTGGAGGCCACGTTCCCAGGTTACGGGACTCGATGGTTAATAATAGTTAATAACTACTGAGTGCTCACGCCACACCAGGCAGTATGCTGTTTTTGTTTTTGTTTTTAAAGGTTTTTGCCATAGGGAACCTGCACTTGCCAGAGAGAGAGAGAGATGGAGACACAGAGAGAGAAAGTGAGAGGTCACCCTTCAGGAGGGATGGCCATGCTGCAATCCCTTCTCCATTCTCCTCCCAGGATACTGGGCATGCATGCACATGCACCTGGTGAGATTTTCAAGCCACCTGCTATGCTTTTATAAAGTTTCTTTTTAATTTTATTTTATTTTTAATTTGTGATAGGGTGCATGCCCTTGCTGGAGAGAGAGAGAGAGGTGGAGGAAACATCTTCTGGGGGATGGCCATGCCATAGTCTTCTCTGTACTCCTCTTGGGATTTTGGACACATTTGCACATGTGCCCAGTATGTTTTTCGAGCCTCCAGATCCAGGACTTGAACCACGCAGTTGACCGTGTCGGATCCAGCTGCCTTAACTACCACACCATCGGCTAGCCCATACTAAGCCTTTAATGTGTGTTTGCTCATTAATCCGTACAGCTGTCAGCTTAGGTAGGCGCTGTCATCCCTGTTTTACAGATAAAGCCGGGCACAGGGAGGTGAGTAGCATCCCTGTGGCCTCCTGGCTGGTGAATGGCAGAGCTGGGAGAGGAACCCAGCAGCCTGAGTTTAAAGCCCCAGTGCTTACGTGCAGTGCTCAGAATCGGGTGGTCAGGAGAAGAATGAGAACTCAGATACACTGGGAGCACGGGCATCCACTTGGCTCTCACAGCACCGGGTTGTTTTGGAGCAAAAACTGCTTCCACAGTAAAGACAGGTGGAGTCCAGGCTTACTGTGACAGTCTCTGCATACGATTGTAGCTGGGCCCTAGGGAAGGAAGGCGCTTTGTGGGAACATGATCTGAAATGCACAGGAGTCCGGGATAGAGAGAGGCAGGAGCTCCACATTTCTGGAAGCTGCTTGGACAATCGGATGATGACTTGGCTGAGGGATTCTGTGGCTAGAGAATTCTTTTTTTTTTTTTTTTGGAGAGGTTTTTGCCATAGGGCGCATGCGCTCACCAGAAAAAAAGAGACAGAGACAGAAAGTGAGAAATCACCCCCCAGGGGGGATGGTCACGCCGCAATCCCTTCTCCTCCATTCTCCTCTCGGGATCTTGGGCATGCACGCACACGCGCCCGGTGTGAGTTTAAGTCACCGGGTCCGGGACTCGAACCACGGTCGACTACATGGGAGTTCAGTGGCATAGCCATTACTCTAACTGCTGGTCCCAGATAATTCTGACATCTCTTTCTACAAACAGGTTTTGAGTTTGATCGATGGCTGAATACCCCTGGCTGGCCCCCCTACCTCCCTGATCTCTCTCCCGGGGACTCACTTATGAAGCCTGCTGAAGAACTGGCCCAGCTGTGGGCCACCGAGGACCTGGACATGCAGGCCATTGAAGGTGTGGCCATCTCAACCTGGAAGACCTACCAGCTGGTCTACTTCCTTGATAAAATCCTCCAGAAATCTCCCCTCCCTCCTGGTAAGAAAACGTGGGTTATTTCTCCCACATGATAGATCCAGGCTCCTGATACGCAGAACCGTGTATCGGGGCCAGAGAGCAGAGGCAGGAAAAATGGCGATGACTGCGACCGCCAGTGCTAACAGGGAGGCAGGCGCTTCACGAGGAGCGCGCCATTGGAAGCAGGTAGGCTGTACTTACAGGGGGCACGGGGCATTCCTCCAGTCCTCGGGTTCTGCAGGTGATCTTGTCAACTCTTGGCCTCTTCTGATCATGTAATCCTCCCTGCTCTATGAAGCAGGTGCTCTGATTATAGTCCCTGGTGACAGAATGCGCTGGAGGCACAACAGTCGTGTCGGGACGCAAACCCAGTCATCCAAGGTGTTCAGCCACCCGTGCTTTGCTGTTGCTCAGTCAGAAATGTTAGTCAGCTGAGCTAGCAGGTGGTGTGGGAGTTAGGGCGCTAGGTTCCACATGGTCAGCTGGGTGGAAAAATAGGGCTCAAGTTCGAATCCCCAACTGTGCAGCTTGAAAAATATACCAGGTATGTATGTATGTGCATGCCCAAAATCCAGAGAGGAGAATGGAGAAGGAACTGCTGTATGGCCATCCCCCTGCAGGGTGACTTCCCACCTTCCCTCTTCTTCTCCCTCTAGGAAGCACACATGCCCTGTAGCAAACAAAAAGTCACCAAGAAGAGTTGAAGCCCAAGTGACCTTTAGCAGGCTAGTTAGTGGGGCAGGACGATTTAGGGCAGTGCATTGCTTTAACCTGGGAAGGAGAACTGATGGTTACAACAAGAACTGGAAGTCTCTTGACGATGTAAAAGGACATTGCATGGAAGAGCCTTAGAAATGAAGGCAAATATGAAAAAACAACGTTACCATTTCAAAACATAAAATGAACAGAGTGCAGGAAAGTGGGTGGTCAGGGAATCCCCTTGAAATCTGCTTCCAGAGCCCTTGGAGGGGCTGAAGGCAGACCCACCGGGTCGCCAAGAATGGGGCTTCTCAGCGCCCGTTGCTGGTTGTTGCCAATCCACTTTTGCCTCTTTTCCAGGGAATGTGAAAAAGCTCGGAGAGACATACCCAAGGATCTCAAATGCTCAGAACGCAGAGCTCCGGCTGCGATGGGGCCAAATCGTTCTTAAGAACGACCACCAGGAGGATTTCTGGAAGGTGAAGGAGTTTCTGCACAGTCAGGTACGTGGCCCCCACTGCCTTCCCCCTGCGGGCTTGCTGGGGACCTCTCAGCTGGACATTCTCGGAACAGTTCTGGGACAGAGCCTCATGAGCCTGAGATGCAGGTGAGGGGTCAGGTGACTGGCTGGAGGACCCTGCTGGTCAGGATTGCTATTTACCTGGCCCCTGCAGTCATCGCTCTGGGGGAAAGAGGACGCCTACAGACTCAGAGAACTTTCTGCAGATCAGCTGGTGAGGCCTGAGGGACAAAAAGCTTGTCAGAGCTGAACCGAAACTGGGAAGGAGGGGACTGCGTAACACAGGTGGTCACGTAGTTCACAGGGGAAAGAGGCTAAGGGACAGCAGGAGGAGCCAGAGCCCAGATTCCAGGTCCTGCTCCCCCCGGGAGCCTCGTGACCTGCAGGGTTCAGACGCCAGCTGTGAGGGTTGCCTGTTTGGGGAGAGCCCAAGGGTTCCTACGTCATCAAGATTCCAGAGCAGGGAGAGGGCTGGGCAGGACACAGGCGGGCTCCGATTCCCTCTGTGTGCCTGGTTCTGGCCTGACTGCTTTCCCGGGCTCTGGGGTCCAGGCCATTGTGAGGTCGCTGGGCTCCATCTACGCGAGTCCGACTTGCAGATTTCCCGGCAGCTGGACTGAGGCCCTGCGCTACGGGTCCTGAGCCTTCGGCAGCTGCTGAACACTTGGGGCTGGTCCCCATGCCTTCCCACAGGCTGGTAGCTGCTGCCGTGACTACGGGTCGGGTCGGGATACAGACTGAGGTCTGTGTTCATGGACCTTTGGCCCCTGAGAAGATGCCAGAATCCAAGCTCTTCTGACGGGACTCCTTCCTACCACTGAAGCCCACGTTTCTCTCTCTCTCTCTTTTTTTGGTAAGAGAGATTTTTGTTATAGGGCATGTGTGCTCACCAGGGACACAGAGAGAGAGAAAGTGAGAGCCCCCCTCCCCCAGGGAGATGGCCTTGCTACAATCCCTTCTCCATTTTCCTCTCAGGTTCTTGGGCATGCATACACACACATGCCCAGCGTGAGTTTTAAGCCGCCGGGTCTGGGACTTAAACCATGGTCGAAGATGTGGGAGTTCAGCACCATTTGCTGGCCCAAGTGTATGCTTATTTTGTCTCAGTCTCTTTTTTTTTTTTTTCCTTGCCATAGAGTGCATGAACTCGCCAGAGAAAGACAGAGAGGGAGAGGGAAAGTGAGAAGTCACCACCTGGGGTGATGGCCACACCGCAGTCCCTTCCCCTCTGTTTTCCTCTTGGGATTTTGGACACACACGCACACACACACGTCTGGTGTTTTTCAATCCACTGAGTCTGGGACTTGCACTGCGCAGTCAGCCACGTAGGATCTAGCCACTCACTTTTGTGCCACCTGCTAACCACCCCACATCCCTTTCCGTGCCTGACTATTCCACTGTGGGGCAGGAGGGATGGACAGACCCCCTGACCCAGCCCTCCGGGCCACGTGTGTTTCTCGCAGGGGAAGCAGAAGTACACCCTCCCGCTGTACCATGCCATGATGGGTGGCAGTGAAGTGGCCCAGGCCCTCGCCAAGGAGACCTTCGCATCCACTGCCTCCCAGCTCCACAGCAACGTCGTCAACTACGTCCGGCAGATTGTGGCTCCCAGGGGCAGCTAGGGGCTCCGGCAGGGCTGCCCCAGACTGCAGGCGCTCGGGACACGTGTCCGCAAAGTCCAGCTCTCCAAGCCTCTTCCTGAAGTTTATATATCCCTCCGGGATAACCCGCTCTCTGGGCTTAGGTTTCTGTGGGTCTTGAACTCCGCTCCGGTGGGAACTTCTCTGGCCACTGAGTCCTGAGACCAGAGAACCTTCCCATGGCTCTTACTTCACACTGGCTGGCAGCCTGGGTGGGGCAGGCGCCCTCCTCCTCACTTCTCTGCCTGGCTCCTTTGTTCCTCCCTTGCCCCACCCTCTCTCCCTTCCTTTTTTTTTTTGATTTTGCTGATTCTTTAAGTACTATGCAAAGGGAATGCATTCTTTTTTTTTTCAGGTTTAATCCTCATTTTAATAAATGTTTTTAAGCAAAAAGTAGAAAAGTTGGTTTTATGGATTGAATGACTTAAATTTTTTTGACCTGGGGTTCCCTCTGTGTGGAGTAGTCAGAGATGGTCACAGGGAGACCCAGAGGATGACAGTGTGTCCCTGTCTTTGGTGCCTGCCAGGTTCAAGGAGGTGGGGGTCCCATACACAGATAAACAATCCTGCAGGGGAAACGTGTACCTGAATAACTCGGGTCTGGCAGGCAGCCTCCTGTAGCACTCTCTGCCACTGTAGACTTTCCGCCACTGGGAAAGCCACAGAAATGGCTGTTCTTTTTGTAAGTTTTGGTGGAGAGAGAGAAATCACCCCCCAGGGAGCACAGCCACTCCATAATCTTTTCTCCACCTTCTCGTTTATCTTCTCGGGATTTTGGGCATGGACACACACAGATCTGGTGGTTTTCTTTTTCTTTTTAAAAAAGAATGATTTGACTTTTATTTATTACCATTATTTTAATATTCCCAGAGAGAGAAAGTGAGAAAGCAAGCCTCTAGGTTAGGGGAAGTGAGAAAGCAAGCCTTCAGGCCTGGGACTTGAACCATGGTTGGCCATGTGGGAGACCAGCACCCCTAACCACCATGCCTCCTGCCGGCCTCTACATCTGGTGGTTTTCAAGCCCCAAAGTTGGTAACAGAATCGACCAGCTACCAGGTTGCACGGCTGACCCCAGAAATGTGTGTTTTACTCTTTCCGGGCCCTCCTCCCTACCCCCAGGGCTCCTCTGGGCCCCACCTGCTTTCATTCCAGGTGACCATTGATATTTTAATGGTGTGGTTCAGAAGGTGGCTCTGAAGTCTGGTTTCCTGACTTCAGCGAGGGGATCTCAGCGGTGAGCAACTTAGGCTTGGACTGCTGGGAAGGGAAGGCTGGAAGAAATATCTACATAAATACAAGTTGCCATCTCTAAGCACAAGGCACCCTGAACCAGCCTCCACACCCTGCTGCGTCCTTGGCTCAGGTCGTCCTCGTGGGCCTCCGTCCTTCCCCGCACGGGGCTGCAGTGGGTCTGCTCTTACTTCTGTGAGAGCAAGGGGAACATGGTGACCCACGGACGCTGGGGAGGGCCTGTGGCCAGGACACACTCCAGGTTCGCCAGCAGGGAGGGAGCTGTGGGTAACAGGGTGCCCCGGAGCCTGGGCCTGTACAATTGCTCCAGGCACAGACAACCGACAGCTTGGGAAACTCCCTTGGGACTGTCCCTGTCAGAGGTTCCAGCCAGGGCTGTCCAGTTCATCCCCTCTCCAGCTGGCTCATCAGCTCAGAGACCAGGAGCCACCTCGACAGCCACCTATGACATCAGAGAGCCCAGTAATTATAAGGGTTCCTGGAAGTGACAGGCTGGAAACTCTTCCTCTGGAAACCATTCTCTGACCCCACTGACTTCATGGTCCTCACACGTCACAGCGTGGGTGGCCCGTCTCACTCTCCACCTTCGCGACAGTCCTGTGGGATGTGCCTGTCCTAGCGGGCTGGGGGCTGTGCCTAGCCATCCTTCCATGTGAAGGTGGGGCCGGACCTGCCTGAGCAAGCTCTGAGGGGATGGTGGCTGCTCCTGCCCTGAGTGGGGGCTAGGGAGCTGGCCTCGGGCCCAGGTCCTCTGCCCACCAAGGGACCCAGCTACCACCACTCCCAAGGTGCCAGCTTCAGATGCAAGTCTCTCCCACTGCTTTTGTCACTTGGCCATGGAAGGCATTCCTCCTTGGAGGTGAGGTGCTAGCCGACAGGAAATGCTTCGTCTCACCTCCTGTTCTCTGCTAGAAGCCCCATGAAGGCAGGGGAGCTGGCAGCCTCTGGGTTCTCCAAGCACCCCTCCTCCCCGGCAGCCTGGAGCCCCAGCCCTTCAGGGCAGGAGCACGTGCGCAGCCCTGGGGCTGGGAGCCGGTTCTGCCGCATTCCAGAGCGAGTGACTCGGTAGAGGGTGTGCCCGCCGCAGGCTCCTTGGGGGAGGCCCCCTGAAGGGCTGCGGAAAGTCCTACCCAAGGGCCTCAGGCTCTGCCACCCCTGGCCCAGTGGAGGGCCTCTGGACCTCAGCCCTCTCTCCTAGGCGTCCAGCCATTTCAGGGACAAGGGAGAAGCAGGTTCCCAGAGAGGGCGCCAGAGTTGAAAAAGGGGTATCCGCCTTTTGAGTAGCCACCACCCACGGCGCTGAGCAGGCCCTGAACTGCCCCCCACCTCCATGGGGATACTAATAAAGGAGATGAGGTGGGAGACATGCACAGCCTGTCTTAGCTGCAGGAAAAAGTAGATCTGGAAGCGATGACGCAATTAAGCCCAACCGACCTTGCTTTTAACAAACGGAGAAGCTAAAACACAGAATCTGAGCATGATGCCCGAACACGGAGCTGCCCACTCTGGAATCCCAGTTTGGCCATGGCAGGCATTCCTCCTTGGAGGTGAGGTGCTAGCCGACAGGAAATGCTTCGTCTCACCTCCTGTTCTCTGCTAGAAGCCCCATGAAGGCAGGGGAGCTGGCAGCCTCTGGGTTCTCCAAGCACCCCTCCTCCCCGGCAGCCTGGAGCCCCAGCCCTTCAGGGCAGGAGCACGTGCGCAGCCCTGGGGCTGGGAGCCGGTTCTGCCGCATTCCAGAGCGAGTGACTCGGTAGAGGGTGTGCCCGCCGCAGGCTCCTTGGGGGAGGCCCCCTGAAGGGCTGCGGAAAGTCCTACCCAAGGGCCTCAGGCTCTGCCACCCCTGGCCCAGTGGAGGGCCTCTGGACCTCAGCCCTCTCTCCTAGGCGTCCAGCCATTTCAGGGACAAGGGAGAAGCAGGTTCCCAGAGAGGGCGCCAGAGTTGAAAAAGGGGTATCCGCCTTTTGAGTAGCCACCACCCACGGCGCTGAGCAGGCCCTGAACTGCCCCCCCACCTCCATGGGGATACTAATAAAGGAGATGAGGTGGGAGACATGCACAGCCTGTCTTAGCTGCAGGAAAAAGTAGATCTGGAAGCGATGACGCAATTAAGCCCAACCGACCTTGCTTTTAACAAACGGAGAAGCTAAAACACAGAATCTGAGCATGATGCCCGAACACGGAGCTGCCCACTCTGGAATCCCAGTTCTCTGCCTCCCTCCTCCCACCCTACGTCATGCCCTCTCAGGTCCCCAGGGGGTTCTGCAGGACACGTCCGCGGTGGACTGGGCTGAGTCCATAAACAGAAGCACAGGCATGAAGGACATTGTGCCCACGGGGAAGGCAGGGCCCTGGCCGTGGCACTGAGTGGGACTAGAAGGAAGAGGCGCAGGCGGGGGCGAGAGCGTGGGTTTTGGTATCCACATACCTGGATTTAAGCCTCGGCCCCACTGTCTAACTGTGCTGCCCAGGTAAGCCCTTCCTCTCTCCGAGCTGAATGTACTCTATGAAATGGGGTCACAGTGTCTTGTCGCAGAATTAAGGGAGAGAATATATTCAAGGTGCTTGGTAAATTCTGTGTCTTAACTTTTTCTTGAAACTACACAACCCTGCAGTCAGACTTCTGACCACTAGAGGGCAGCAGGCAGCAGCTGGTGACCAGGAGCTGGAAGACCCGCCAGCGGGCCAGATGGTCCATGTGGATTTCAGCACCTCCAGCCGCCCCCAGTGGGCTGGGCACCACCACGTTCTGAAGGGAATACGTGCAAGTGTCCCTGATGCTCGCGTGGGACTCAGGCTGTGAGTGCTGAGGTCTTCCCAGCACAGTAGATGTCAGAACACGGTCTCTATGGCTGAGGACCCCGGGCGAGCTAAACCGAGGGGCCATCACCACCATTAGCCCATGAATACCGCCCAGCATGGAGCCTGGCAGTCCTGGCGGTGCCACCACCCTGGGGCCGTCTTTCCTGCCCAGACCCTTCTGTCTGCAATCTCCAGACACTGAGGGCCCAGAAGTTTTTCAGACCCAGTTCAGCCAGAGGTTCTGATCCCCCCTCTTGTCCCTCCCCCTAGCCCATCCCTGGCCTGCCCCCAGGAGGAATTTCCTAAGCTAGAGGTGCCCACAAGCACAGATGCCCACCCCAGCGACATTCCCGCCACCTGCCCAGGCCAGTGCCCGGTGCCCAACCCCACAGGGTGCGGGATGACAGGCTCTGACAATCATTAAACCGGCCGGGCCTGATTTCCCAGCACCGCCTGCTAGGATGGGGCCAAGTGGCTCAGAATATGCAAATCACCTGGGGCAGGAGCCCAGTCTAAAGGCCAGGAAATCCCCTCTGTCCAATGAGCCACCAGCTCAGGTTACCAGCAGGGACGCACTATAAAGGCCTGGGCGCAGGGAGGAGCTCCCGCTCGGCTCTATTTAGGGTGGGGTGGGGGGAGCGCGGTGCCCAGATACCTCAGCTCCACCTGGCGGGCCACCGCCTGGATTTCTCCCGCCTGCAGCCTCCTAAGCCTGCCCACCTGCCACATCTGCACCCCCACTGCGGTAGGAGCCCCACCTGTACTGTTTCCGAGCCCCTGAGTCCCGGCCTTGGGAAACGGGGGAGGGGTCTCACAGACTTCCAGTTCCGAATCTGTTCATTCCAGTGTAGGAGTGTATGGCCTGTGGGCATCCTGGGGTCAGGGAACGGAGAGATTGTCTCTAGAGGGACAAGGTGGCCATGACCGCCAGTCCAGCTATCGGGCGCCAGCTGATCTGAGGAGGGGCTCCCAGGAGGGTCTTGTGCCCCACCTCGCTCTGAGATCTTGGCGTCCTTCTGGAAGAGGGAGTCCCCAGGGATTGACCTTCCTGCCTCTTGGAGCTACTGTTGCCCAGGCTGCGCCGGGACAGACTGGCCGGGAGTGCGAGGGGAGGCCCGGCCCCCTCAGCAACCGTGTCCCGTCCCTCCAGACAGCCTCATGGCCGCGACCTGTGAGATCAGCAGCGTCTTCAGCAACTACTTCAGTGCTATGTACAACCCGGAGGACCCCAGCCTGGCCTCTGTCCCCCCTGCTGGCTCCTTTGGGGCCGATGACCTGGTGGTGACCCTGAGCAACCCCCCGATGTCGCTAGAGGGAACAGGTGGGTCTCACAGGTGGGATGGGTGTCTTTCTGAGGTTAGATAAATGGGGAGGGTCTCCCAGTGAGTTTCAGGGCTGGAGTGGGGAGACTGTTAAGCCTCCTTGGTGTTGGAAGAGGCACGGCCGTACCCAGCCGGGGTAAGGGCCAGGAACGGGTGCTGTGACTCTTATCTCCTGTCCCTACTCCTGGGAGGGACCTAGGGGTGAGGAGGGGACGCACACAGAGTCCCAAACGGGTGCCAGGGTGGGACGGAGTGGCTCTGTGGGGGCCTGCTCAGAGCCCTGTTGCTGTGCTGGCCCTTGCAGAGAAGGCCAGCTGGTCGGGGGAGCAGCCCCAGTTCTGGTCGAAGGCCCAGGTCCTGGACTGGATCAGCTACCAGGTGGAGAAGAACAAGTACGACGCCAGCTCCATCGACTTCTCGCGGTGCGACATGGACGGGCTCACCCTGTGCAGCTGTGCCCTCGAGGAGCTCCGGCTGGTCTTCGGGCCCCTGGGGGACCAGCTCCATGCCCAGCTGCGGGACCTCAGTGAGTCCAGGCCCCTGAAGCCACGGCGGACCCTAAGCTGCAGGGAGGGTCTGGAGCCCTGGGCCAGAGGTACAGCCAGCGCGCGCCCCTGCTGGAGGGGCCAGGGGAGTGTGACCGTCCTTCCTTCCTTATCAGCTTCCAGCTTCTCTGACGAGCTCAGCTGGATCATCGAGTTGCTGGAGAAGGATGGCGTGGCCTTCCAGGAGACCCTTGGAGCCCCAGGCCCCTTGGGTAAGAACCCATCTCCTCTCTTCTGCCCAGTCCACCCGTCCTCGCCTCTCCCGGGCATGGAGCTGACCACATTCCCAGCCTTCTCCACTCCTCACCAGCCCCAGAGGTTCCCTGCACCCCTCTGAGTTCTCCCCTCCTCTTCCCAGACCAGGGAAGTCCCTTCGCCCCAGAGCTGCTGGACGACTCCCGGCAAGTCAGCCCCTATTACCCCGGCGGCTACGGCACAGGAGCCCCCTCCCCCGGAAGCTCCGATGTCTCCACCGCAGGTGAGAGCCCTGTCCGGCCACACCCTCTCTCTGTCCGAGGGCTCCTGGGCCCTGCTTCCCAGCACTGGAACCTGGGTCTGAAGACCCGGAGTGGCCGGCAGCATAGCCTATGAGGCCCAGCCCTGACTGCAGGAGCGGGGCTGGGGCACTCACTCTGACCACCCCACAGGGACCAGCACGTCTCAGAGCTCGCACTCCTCAGACTCCGGTGGAAGTGACGTGGACCTGGACGCCACTGACAGCAAGCTCTTCCTCAGAGGTGAATCCAGGGGGCTTCCCGACCCCAAGAGGGTGTCTCATTCAGCATTGCAGGGGCCTGGCTCCTGCTGAGGGGCTGCTCCTCGAACCACCCTCTCTTGACCTTTGACCCTCCCCTGCTCCCCATAGATGGCTTTCCTGACTGTAAGAAGGGGGACCCAAAGCACGGGAAGAGGAAGCGAGGCCGGCCCCGAAAGCTGAGGAAGGAGTACTGGGAGTGCCTGGAAGGGAAGAAGAGCAAGCATGGTGAGCTCCGGGCCCGAGCCCTGGGGCCGTTCTGTCACCCCAGCTATGCACCGTGGTGTGGCCCTGTGGGCCTGGTCACCACCTAACTGCAGAGGG